GGGTATCGCAGCGGGAGACAACTAGTAAGAATAATAACTATAATCTACTGCATCTCGAGATCTGCAAGTCATCTCAAATGTTGGCTGTACGTACATTAAGGTACCACTTTTAAAAGCAGTCTTCCGTTACCAGTCTGTTCTTATAGTAATGGAAAATGTATTTTATTTTTTAACTCGCCTTTTTAGTCAGTTCATCTCTTTGTATTATCAAATGTCAATGAAAAATTAAATGGGTCAATGGTTCCAATGTCAGAAAACTACGAGTAAGACTAGAATATAGAAGAAGATTTATTATTTATTCGCTCTTTATTGCATAGGAAAATAATACACGAAAACTTTTATACTAGAATAAGGGGTATTGGGTTTTACTAGAAAAAGCGAAATCTAACAGACAACACAAATTTTTAGAGAGATTTTGAACGTGGACGATACAAAAAAAATACAACATTTTAAAATAGGTAATAGGTATATAGGTTTGAAAACGGCTTACTTTTTAATTTAAACAGGAAGGAATTAATTTAAACATTATATGTATATACTTATTTAAAAAGAGTCACCACTATACTTTATTAGTAAATTAACCAAAAAGAAATGATATTAATATCTTAGTAAATTGATAATCACTAATGTCTAATTTCGATGTTAAAATATCTGTTTTAATAAATATTATAAGTGTGATTGGCTTAAATACCTATTTTGTGTAATAATATTACAAAAGTATACACTAGTACTTTATTACAGCACTTGAAACAACAGGTTAGTTTTGTAAGTTAAGAATCCGTATTATTCCTTCACAATTTAATAAAAGTAACGATTGTAATAACCATCGTATGTACGAGCAGTGGGATGAGTACAGCGCATCTCTGTTTCAAAGGACGCATACAAACTAGGTGATATCGAACCCGAAAAACAAGCCTATTTAGCATACGACGCCCGTAGGCAGTATTTCTTCCATTCTTGTTTAGCCCTATACCGATTCCTTTATTTGTTTACTCCTCGCCCCGAGGTGTTTACGAAACAAAGACGTGATTCAAATGTTTGTTTGTTCGTTCTATTTTATTCGAGTTCAATTTCCTTTGAAAAATGACGAAATTCTACCTGAAGACTCATGAAGATTTTATTCAGGTTTTATATTCACGTTAACGGGATTTGCCTGTCAACGTAAATTGAATGATATTATGTGATTGAAAAGCTTCTTTATTCATAAAAAATATACGACTCGCTTCGGTGGAAATATTTATTACAGATAGTCATTAAAATTGCAATGTATTTAATAAATTACAGTTATAATTACAGCAGCGAGATATTATCTCTGAATAAACGATGAACTAATATAAAAAGGCCCATAGAACTTAGCTGCACTTAGGTACAAATGTAGTCATGAACTATGCAAACACGACATGAAATTATAATCAAACATAATGTTTACTAAAATTAATTTCTGTTACGCTAGATAATTTTCCGCCCTGGAAATGTAAATTTGTAGTGTTTCTCCTTTTATTATTTGACCGCTAGCTTCGGAGTTCCGACCTACATTATTATGAGGGTAACGTTAAAATTACGAAGGCGGACTGTCGAGTTTTATGTGCGTACAAATTGTCAATTCTAGTTTAATGCTCCACGTACCGGAATGGCGCTTTTGAATAAAATGCTGATGGATTTACGCCTTGGAGTGTAATAGAGCATTCAGTTGAGTGCGGGTAGGTTTATTGTTTTGGTAACTTTTGTAGATTTATAGAGGATGAAAAAGCTTTCCATTCCAGAGTCTTATTAAACGGCGACGTGGGTTTTCGAACTGTGACAGTGGATTTTACCGTTAATTACAGAGGCGAAAAGGCTTTTCAATACCAAGAATAGAATATAAAAAAACAAACTAAATAAATATACTTGTCGCAGCGCTTCCGCCTATTACATTTACTTAATCAGCTGTATAGTTTTGTATAGTTAGACTTGTAACTTGGGTATGTTTGATTTTGGTGGCATTGACAGATAGCAGGCGGTTATTGACAACTTGATTTCTAGTGATGGGACATAGTCTTGTGCCCATCGCGTAGGTTAGTTGTTATCGTGAAACTTCTAATATTACATGTATAATATAATATACAGACAAATACTGTCTATAGTTTAGTACACATTTAAATAAAACACTTTAACGGTTTAAAACGCGATATATTAGTTAAACTTATTTGAAAATGTTTTTTAACTTCGGCCCGACGTTTCGGATGCTTTGCAGCAGCCGTGGTCACGGGGAGATTCCCCGTTTGTGTGTGGTCACAGGGAGACTCCCAGTGTTTTATTTAAATAATACAGAAAAAGACTTGTGTCACTCAATTTATGTACGTACCACTGCTAGGCATCGAACGCTGCAAGAAGAGATAGAGTAAGAACCCATTCATCCACCATGATAATCTTGTCGGCTTAAAATGCTTCCCAAAGTACGAAGTTGATAACAAAATTTATTTTCAAAGTCATACTTTCAACAATTCTTAAGACCTACTTTTTATATAAACCGACAGACGAAATAATTTAAATAAGCTTTTAATTGACACATCTACAATATTAAAGCCCGCACGAAAATCAAGATTGACGTTTGGAAAACTGTAATAAGAAAACATCAACCTTAATATGCATTCTCCTAATTCCGAAAAGCAATAAAAGCTTTACTGTCCTATTAATGTGGAGTCCGATGTGCAAGAAGCAATTAAATAGTCGACGCAAATTATAGAAGAAAATTTCTTTCGAAATATTCGACGTTGCACGTGGGGAAATAATTTGTTCTCGGAGCAAATCGTTTTTAAATTTCATTTTCATCACTTTTCCTCACCGTAACCTTCTCTATCCACTTCTTTTTGGCGTCGTCGTTTAATTGTATAAATTTATATTACCTACATTGATAAATGATTGATATTAGTTTGTTCATATATTAGATAGTATCATTTTGTTTCAATATATATCTGTCAGGCTTAAGAAAGGAAATACTTAAAATAATAGACTTTATGAATCTGTCTATGACAAACCAATTTTAAGCAAATATTAGGTAATTATATAAGAATAATAAAATAATACGGCTCGTTCGTTGGTCTAATGGTAGATGTCATCAATCTCCAACGGGTATAATAAATTTGTAATTTTTCTGAAACATATTCGTATTTGTATCGAAATCCCGTCATGTAAAAGACGTGAAGTTTAATCGCGTTTCGTATCCAGTTTGTTGATTTCCGAATAGCCGAAGCCAAAATAGACCGACAGCGCATGGTGTTAAATGTGATAAGGCAGGGACATTTGACATTCTATTAAGGGAATTTCATGCTTGTATGATCTTCTCTATCATAAAAAATAAACAACACATTCTGATTTTCGCTTACTTTTAACATCCAACTTCCGCATCTTGTCTTATCAATTTCCGACCGATTTTCGGCATCAATTAGTCTTACACGGTCCTATGAATTTTGAGTAAACATACAGAAAAATTTATAATTGCTCTTTGAACCCCCAAAAAGTAATTATAATTTTTTATTATAAAATCTTTCTTTTCACATTCCCCATATTCCATGGGAGAAAACATTGTTATACTGACTACATTGTTATTGTCTCGTCTTTTAACATCTCGATTCACAAATGATGATAATATTATGTTGGTACACAGGTTTTTAAAAATCGTTTTGACATTTTACTATTAATAAAGATGTGTATGTGTATGTTTATATGTATGTGTATTAGAAATATAATTATGTAATAAATTGAACTTTTGGTAGTGTAGTGTAGATTCACGATCGACAAACATTCTTTGGTGAAACTCAATAGTTTTTAAAATTTTAAAGAGTGTAAAGTATATTTTATTTTATTTTGAATATAAATAATATAGAAAGAAAAGTCTTTGAACCCGTTTCATTACAGCGTTTGGGTAAGAACCGTAGTCTACAGAAGCGAATTGTGGTTGGTCGAAAAGTAAATAAAGCGAACGGATATCGAGAGCTAGGTACGCTTAGACTTGTTTACATTATAAATAGGAACTTGTACGAACAGCTAGGAGGCTTCCTATCAGGATATTGGCACCAATTTACTTCGTTGACATAGGTTGAGAGATGAGAAAACTGTTAAGCGTCCCTTTGTATTTCGCCGAGTTCGTCGGTGTAATGGTAGCAAAGTATAGCTAATAATCAAGGAGTTCGACGCCCTCCGGATTCAACATTTTTTCGTTACATTTTGGATTACGTCTGGAAATCTGGATATTAAATTGTCTGATCTGAAATATCAAGATTCTGTCTGAGGAACCAAGAGAACCAAGTTCCACTGATGAAAATGCCGTGAATTTTAATGCCGTTAGGGTTTTTATCTGTGGCTTTTCGAAATCTAAATCCAAATAAAGTTGTTATGAACATATTGTTTAGATGTTACTTGTCTGGAGTATTTCACCTACTATCAACCCTAATCTTGTCTGTGCTCCTCTATCATAAAAGACATTCTTCATGGAAATTTTATATTGTCGCGTTTCCACAAATTTTACTAATAATTTAATTTTTTGTTTTTTTATTTTTAGTTAAGTCTCATCCTGGCAATACTTATGTACACCGTTGGTAAACATTTTCTTTATTTTAGGGTTACGTAATCACAGAGTAAAACGGATCCCTGTTATTAATGTCTGACACTGACGTGCTAGACAAAAATTATATGTCTGAAGCAAACGACATTTAATCGGTCTACCTATCACACATTTGAAAACATTTTTAAATAAAATATTTTAACGGTTTAAAACGCAATATATTTATGTATAACGACCACGTGTCTCCCCGTGACCACGGCGGCTGCAAAGCGTCCGAAACGTCGAGTCGTAGTTAAAATAATTCTCAAAAAGTTTTTTAAAAATACATTGCGTTTTAAATCGTTAAAGTTTTATTTAAATGTGTACTACACGCGTAATTCTGTTCTTGATGTACAGAACCCGTCTTGAATTTCGCGTGGCTCTTCTGTTTTATGAGTTTGCAATAGGTATCACTTACCTGTAGATACTTGATCCTAGTGATGTTTTCCTCAGTAACGGTTAAAGCTCGTCTCTCCCCCAACTTGTAAGTGTTATCATAGTACATGTACTCGGTAAAGGTGAGACCGCTAGTGATGTACTGCTGCGTGAAGTATATCGATATAGTTCCATTCACGATATCGTGTTCGATGATCCATTTGCATTTGATGGGGACAGGGAACGGGTTTGGGAAATTGGGGGTCTGGATTGTTCCCACGGGGCCTTTTAGTCTTCCGCCGCAGCCTTGGTTCTGATGGGGCTCACCATGACCGGCCTTCAGTAAAATCACAATGATCATTACGCTCAGGCGGTGCGCTGCGTTCCTGTAAATAAACAAAAGAATTTAATCTATACTAATATATAAAGCTGAAGAGTTTGTTTGTTTGAACGCGCTAATCTCAGGAACTACGGGTTCCAATTGAAAAATTATATTTTTGTTACTTAGATTTTGTGTAGCATTTATCGAGGAAGGCTATAAACATTGCGCTGTGACTAATACAAGTGAAGATACAGCGGGAAATGTGAAAAAATTGGAAAAAATATTTTTCATTATGGATTACCGCTGCGTACGCTGCAAAAACGGTTCAAGATACTCAAAATATGTATGAAAGAAACATTTCTCTTTAAATGATCTAAAAAAAAGTCCGCGACGCTATATGTATATCTTATAAGATTCACTCGTAAGAACGACGGGAAAGGACGCGACCGACGTCGTGGGTAACAGCTTACGTTTATAAAGATAAAGGGTTTGTAAAAACGAATTTGGATATTTAAATAAAACACTTTAACGGTTTAAAACGCGATATATAAGTTAAACTTATTTGAAAATGATTTATTTAAATGTGTACTACTCGCGTAAACTATAGACAATATTTAACGAATTTGGATACTCAAAATAAATATTCTTCGCGGACGAAGTCGCTGGCACAGCTAGTTATTTATAAATGCAAGAAATACGTCTAAATTTACATAATACTATTGAGTTTTTTATGATAGAGAATAGACAAGCATGCGATTCACTTGATGGTAGGTGAAATACCCTAGCCATTTTATATTTAAACAAGATGTGTTGTCGACTTATTTTGGCCTTTAATATTCGGACATCCATAGATTGAAGCCGAAATGCGTTTAAATATCACGGCTTTTTCACGGGTACACAGTGGGTCAGTTCGGAATTTTCGATATTCCTGCCACACATTTAATATCTCGATTTCCAGACGAAGTGCAACATGTTTTAGAAAAATTATAAACTGATTAGAAAAATGTTAGACCCGGTGCGGATTAAACCCACGACCCGATGATTATAAACGGGCCGTGGCAATACACGGCTACCATTATACCAACGAGCCCATATTGTAATTCACACAAACACATGAAGCCTGTTTCTTCTTATTTTTACTAGTCGATTTTAATTTCGACATAATCTACCCGTTGAACTAACAATAAGCCAAGAATCTTACGACTTCAGTTCAGTTCATGAGTGAAAGGCGAAAATTCCGCGGTGCAATACCTAAATAAAAATATTTACAAAAGCTACTGCACTACTAAGTTTAAAACGCGATATATTAGTTAAACTTATTTGAAAATTATTTTTAACTTCGGCCCGACGTTTCGGATGCTTTGCAGCAGCCGTGGTCACGGGGAGACAGTCTCCCCGTGACCCGTATATCGCGTTTTAAACCGTTAAAGTGTTTTATTGAAATGTGTACTACTCGCGTAAACTGTAGACAATATTTAAAAGCTACTGCTGCTAAGAGCTGCCAAATCGACGTATTTGCTTCGTGAATCATTAATGTCTTAAATATCAATGATTTAGTATTATATTTAGTTAAAATATTGAATTCTATTTTTCTAAACAGGGCGGTACAAACGGCCACAGCTGGAAAATCTTCACGACAATGGCGATTTGCGTTTCGATCGTATCTTTTTAGATGTCATATAACTGGGTTATTTTACCCCCCCCATCAAGTAAACCCTTTCCTTGACTGTCCTCCTTTATTGTGGCGGTAGAATAGTTGGACTAGGGCCCTGATATATTTATTAATTTTCATTATAAACATATTCTAACATTACAGAACAATATCCATTGCGATAGAATTATTAAGTACATATTTCATGGAGTGATGTTTTTGTCAATTCACCTTAAGATTCATATAAAAAAAAGGTCCTCATCGTCTCTTTTCCCGTTTCTATAAGCGTTTAAAATTATAGATAGAACAATAACAGTGCATTTTAAAAGGTCAAAGACAGAACCTTCATTTTCCTTTTCTTTTCATATCTCCTAAACTTATCTGCTTTCAATGGTGGGATTAGAGCCCCTTAAACTTAAAGGGGGTGTTGTCTATTATAACCTACGCACTTTATTGGTTAGACCCAGTGGTTTATAAAAATGCGTTTGAAACTGAGCTTTTGTCTGATTCCTTATTACATACACGTAGTACTAGGTATGTTATTGGACTGATTACTTGTATGGACTTTGATGACTGAGCTGTCCATTGAATCCCAACTTATAAAGCCCACTGCCACCTTGAGGTTTAATCAACGGTTGAATTCATTGATTAAACCACGAAGCAAACGAGGTCTCTGTGGTCAAAGCTAAGGACTATGTCACAAAAATTTATACGACATAGTTTGATATAGTAATAGTTTGTATGTAACTCCATTGCTTAATAAAAGCATTTTCTAGCTTTGCATTCGCAAGAGGTCATGGTTACGAGTTCCGGGGAAACGTTTCGGTCGGACAGGGCACAGAATTTAAATAAAACACTTTGCCGAATTGACTCCCGCACGGACCCGGCCAGTTACGCCAAATACCAACTTCGACGGAACAGATGGTGTTAGCGTAGCAGTTTTTTAATTTGACGTCGGAGACACCCTCCATTTTTAGTCTCCCCGTGACCACGGCTGCTGCAAAGCATCCGAAACGTCGAGCCTACGGCTTTTAAAAATATTTTTCAAACAAGTTTAACTAAAATATAGCGCGTTTTAAACCGTTAAAGTGTTTTATTTAAATGTGTGCGAAATTGCGAAAAAGATGCGTTTTACAATGCTGTAAAAAAAACTTTATTCTCTTTAAAATTTTAAAAATTATTTAGATTCGTCAAACTTTTTTGTTTGTCTGTCTGTTTGTCGTTATTCTACAGAGTGTTTGAAAGAGCAACATAACTAAGTAACTCGTTCCAGCTTTTTTTAACATGGCAACTTTTTAAATCTTTTGTCTGATACATAAAATAATAAAAGGTCCTCTTAGTCATCATGATATCAAAGTGGATTGGTGTTTAACATACATATATGTATGTTACACGTGATATACATTTTCCTAAATAGAATACGCCGTGATTTTACAATAACAAGGTAATATTTTGGTGCATATTATGTACTGCATTTACAAAGTAAACATTAACGGTTGCCAGAACGACCTGTGCAGTAATTGAGTATAATTAAATATCATAATGACGTTACCTTATACGAGACGGAATATTCGTATTTCGGTTTATGTTTATTCTTCAAACCGAATATTTAAACCAATTTAATAAATCTCTTTTAACTGTTTAAAACGCAAAATATATTATTTAATTTGATTATTGCCGGAAACGCTAGGCAACCAATAACATCTACGACGAAACAGATGGCGCTAGCGTAGCAGTTTTTATTTGGACATTGGAGACAGCATCTCTGTGATAACATTGTTGCAGGACAGTGGATTAAATATATTTCGCGTTTTAAAAGTGTTTTATTCATGGACAAAAGTAGTAGTCGTCAATGTTAGATATTTCAAATTTATAATAGTAATATTGAAAATAATTTTCATATGAAATTTATGTTATTGTTTGAAAAATTGTCAAATCCTGCGAGATCGTTTGCCTTGGGCTAACTGAAAATCAACGTCGAGCCTATTTTTAGATATACAACAAATAAGAGTGATCCCTCCTAGTACGTTTAAATAATAAGTGTTTAAGTTTTTATATTTCCGCAACTAACGAATATACGGTAGACTTTGATTTGAATCCGACCAAAAGCCGATGTTTGGTTAAGCCTGTATCCGATATAACCGAATTTGATTTTGTGAAACCGAATGTGAACAGAATTTTGCCCCTCCCTAAACATTATCATGTGATCTTTGACGAACAATTAATTATAATTAATGATGAAGCAAAATTTGTCGCCAATAGGAGGTCCATTAACTGTCTGTCATCGAATGTGACTAGTATAAATGGAAATAAAGTGATGTTTAAATACGCAATTGCGCAGTAAGTAGCATTTAATTTGCTAAACAAAAGCTTCATAGATCATAGTATTGTCTATTGTTAACGCGATTACTATACATGAAATAAAACAATTTTAACGGTTTAAAAACGCCTTCAATATTTTTTACCCTGTCAACATGTTAGAAAGCATCAAGAACGTCGGAACATAACCAAAAATCAATGATGAACATATTTCGCGTTTTAAACCGTTAAAACTGAAGGTTAATTGAGAAGAGGGCATTATATAAATTAAATTTTTATTCAAATTGACACGATAGGTCAGTTGGTTAGTGCACGAAAAACTATGCGGGTTCCCGCCCGTGTCGTAGATTTTTAGTTTCTGTAGATTAAATTAATTATTGTTCGTTTTATCCTTTGTATTGCCTCGTAAAAGTTGAACAATTGCAATGGAATTTTAGTAAAAGTTGTTTTGTTTAAGGAAATACCTCGTGTGACCAAAGTTTAAGTCATTAGATGAAAACATTGAATATGATATGTACATACACATGTTTAAACGTTCCACGTACATACGTGGAACGTTTAAACTTATAGTAAGACAGTATAACAAGCAATTACCGGCAATGTTGTGGGCGTTGGTTTGCGTCTCCTATTCGCAAATTGTTGGTTCGAGCGATGGGTTCGAGCAAGTTGTAATAAAGCTCTAGAATACTACTTTTGCCCTTAAATAAAACACTTTTAATAGTTGAAAACACGAAGTATATTACTTTACTTAACTACGGCCCGACGTTTCGGATGTTTTGCAGCAGCCGTGGTTACGAAGAGACTGTAGGTGAAAGACGTTCCTAATGTCAAAGTCAAATATACTGCACTAACGCCATCTGCGTTTAAAACTTGGTTGCGAGTGTTTTATTTAAATTTGTAGGTAGGTACTACTCACGTTAACTACGAAAAATTTTTACAAGTGCGTGATTACTAGCTTTCCGTATTAAAAAAATTGACGATTCTAGGCGAATCTTCCATGGTTACCGTTGCTTATAGAAAAACTGTGAATGTCAGTCGGTTCATACCCTGTCCACGATATATATTCTTT